GACGTCACGACTCTGCGCGATGTCACGGTGGAAGGATTCAGCTAGGTTTTCGCGGATTTGATTGATAAAAGGGTAAGACTACACTAGCCAAGGTAAGACTTCTACGATAACCATTTAAACGTTTTCTGGAAGACAAAGAATGGTTTACCAGCAAGGGTAGTTTGAAAAAATTATGACGAGAAAATTTATAAAAAATCAATAGTTAAAAATTGTCTATTTTTCAACATGAAAGATCTTGAGACTCATTAGTCGCACATCGACCTGGAAAAAACTGTTTTGAGGGTCACCCAAATGTCTTTGAAGACATGTATCGGACTTGAGTGACGGTCCCCTAAATTAAACAAAAATATGGGCAGTTTGAACCCACTGTCTCAACGAGAGGTCATGTCCGGAAGCAAAACTCAATGGGACTTTCCGAAGCCAAATCACGCGATAGTGAGCGCGTTCACTGAAGTGCCTAGCTAGATCTTAGATCTAGACATCTAGATCTAGATCTACTTTCCGAACTGCACACTCTTTGCTGGGTGCACAACAAAATCTGGATTCTAGATCTAGATCTAGATACACATTTATTCATTAATCTCTCTCTATCTCTTTTTCTCTCCGGGCTAAAAAAAAATAATTCTAGTGGGCTCGGTGAAATGGGGTAATTCTGATCTCTGATTCTTTGCTCTTTTGCTATTAAACACTAAATGCTGAACACTTTAAATAGTCAAGATTTTCTTTGTTATAATAGTGTAAGTTGTTTGTATATCCAGGTATTCGGAGCTGGAGAATCGCCGTGGAAAGGCATAGATCTATCACCCGAGATGATCAGTAGTAGCCTTGCATTGTAACCAGTGTAAACTATCGCCAGTCCAGTAGTAGTCCAGCGAATTTTACGCGCAGCTGCAAAAGTGGGAGGGACCTGCACTTGGCACATGACGTAAAGAAGAGTTGTCTCGTCTTGGTATAGGCCCTAGGCAGGTCTAATTCTGTCTGCCCCGCTCAATATCAGTCATAAGACGCACTATGCTACGAGGCTCGATAGGCGAAAAAGTGACTTTCCATAACATTTTTGTTTTTTGGAATCATTGAAAGCTTGTCTTCTGCTTCATTTAAGATAGAAATAAACAACTATAATCGACTATAAATATTATTAAATTTTTATTTATTTCGGAGGTGTGTGTGGTTTGTTGCGAGCTTGGGTGACGAGAATAAGGAATTTGAACCTTGCTAGTGTGTACCTGTGAGATTATCTTTAGAACCATTACCTCATGGCCACCTTTGCTTCAACTAAAGATTCTCCACTAGTGGAAAATCTTTGCTCCAACGTTCTTTATTTGCAACTATTTTTAGATTTTGACCCCTTTTCGAGCATGAATGGTCTGAAATGTTAACAACTCTGATTGGTAAAACGGAGAAAAAAACGGTAACTTCTAGCTCACTTCAAGCTTGTTTACGTAAATAGCTGACTGTGTGGGCGTGCCCTGCTAGCTGCTATCGTCTGTTAATCTTCAGTTTTACTCTTGGATCGACTTTAAAAATTAGTTTTTTATTTTGTTTAAAAGCTTTTGAAAAACTAATTAACCTTCGTCCAAATATCTCAGAGCGTACTCCTCACCAAGAGGCCACCGAGGCGGTCTATGTGCATATTATGTGCTGGTGTGTTTGTATGTGTGTGTATGCGCGCGTGTGTGTGTGTGTGTGTGTGTGTGTGTGTGTGTGTGTGTGTGTGTGTGTGCTTTTGCAAACGTATAATCAGCTAGCGTATACACCGCCCGTAAGCCGACTCGTAGCCTTCTGAGCGCGTGGTTTCGGTGAAATGGGGTAATTCTGATCTCTGATTCTTTGCTCTTTTGCTATAAAACACTAAATGCTGAACACTTTAAATAGTCAAGATTTTCTTCGTTATAATAGTGTAAGTTATTTGTATATCCGGGTATTCGGAGCTGGAGAATCGCCGTGGAAAGGAAATCCCCGCGAGGTCGGAATGCGAGGTCCCCCGGTTCAAAATTGACTTTTCATTGGCAAAGACCTATACAGCTCTGAGCGTGGTTTCCCGTTGTTATTATTTTTGGCCTTTGGCGTTTAGATGGAGAAAACCTAGAAAAAAAGGTCTAAGTTTTCAAAGATAAGTTTTAACTCGAAATGTGTAAAATACAGGCTAAAGAGAGGTACCTATAGAAAGAACAGTTCTTTTTCTATTAGAATAAAGTCATCGGCTTGGAGTTATTTTGCATGAATCCTTCTGAGAACCTACCAGAAGCATTCACTCAGTATACTACAGTATTGAGCCGGCTCGCTCGCCGTCCGAGACAACGCTGGTTTTTTAAAATTGAAATAACGACAGATCCTCGTGTTTGAGGTAATAAAATACTGATTTGTAATGATCTCACAGTCTTGAACAATATTAGGCTATGTTATAGTGATTGTACTTATTTAATGTAGAGATGTTTAGTGCACTTGGTACTCTTTTACTATCTGTCTGACATTGGGGGGGGGGGGGGGGGTACAGCCAGTTAAAGATTTCAACAATGTTTTATTATGATGACAAATTGAAACAGCTGCAATTCTCTTAAACATTGACTGAAGAGGTAAACGTATGGTATAAAAATTTGCAGTAGACTTTGGCCTTTCATATGAAATAGATGAATTTGACATACGGCAACTTTGAAAATTTAGTACATGTATCTGGTACCTGGTATAATGTTAATACTTTGTTGCATTTAACGTCCATTCTAGTTAAAATTTTGTTTTTGGTCCATAAGTTTTTTTACTCTGTAAATGCATAGTTTTCTACTTTTGTATGTTACCTCGTAATGGCATAGCCAAGATAACTGCTGAATTTCAAATCTCTATCTCAATTCTAAGACCCCTATTGCTATGGAAACATGATGCTCAACTTCGGAGGCCATTTTCTCCTTTTTGGGTTTCCTCACCTCACACAATTAAAAGTTCTGTATTTTTGTCAAATATTGTCATATTTACTTCATCCTTGTTTTAAATAGTAGGGAAGAGGTGATAGTTTAGTTTTTGAAAATAATGTTAACTCAGTTTTAAAATGTCCTTCATATGACTGATATTGACCGGCAGGGACACTTAAATTGGTCTTTGATTACACAGTACCCAAATATAGCAAGGTAGACCCGTCAGTTGCACATCTACACACGTCAACACACAGTGCGGCTGTGCTGACACCCTGCGAGTGTACCTCGCGCTCGCTGAGACAGAGGTGCCAACGCACAGTGCGGCTGTGCTAACACGAAGACGGCGTTCGCTAGGCGAGCTACAGGTCAGACCTACATAGCCACTCTGTAGCTGACAACAGACAGACCACACAGCGACGCTGCTCAAGCACACGACAATGTACGTTCATTTTAGAGGGGGTGGTTCCGGTTTTTTCGGTAACCGAAGATTCCCGAATATTAAAGGCCAGGAATCGTAGGAATCGGTTCCGGACCCAATTACTTTCATTATAGCCAGTGATGTGATTTCTTTGAGTGGCTCTATGATTATATATATACAACAATTAGCAGTTAGTCCGACCCCTGCAATTACCCCGGGCGAGTAGCAATAAGTCCGATCCCTGCAATTGCTTCCGCCGAGTAACAATACCTATGACTACTTCCGGCTAGTAACGATTAGTCCGACCCCTGCAATTATTTCAGCTCAGTAGCGATCCCTATGACAACTTCCGGCGAGTAACGATGCCTATGATTACTTCCGGCGAGTAACGAGTAGTCCGACCCCTTTGATTACTTGGGGTGGGAGGGCCCTACCACAGGCACTACCCCACCCAATCTATACAGTATGATGTCAGAGACCAACACTGACCTACACCGAGAAATGTGAGGCTATAATATAGAGCCTCGTGGGCAGACGTTACAGTTTTAGATTTTGAATTGAAAGAAAAGGGAATATAATTTAAAAACAACAGATGAATAAGAAAAAAAAGGCGAAAGCAACGAATAGGTTTTGACACTGTATACTAGATCGATATAATCTTTGACAATGAATTTGCATCCCGACTACTCTTTCTTAAGTCTTCAAGATACAGGATTACCTTGATTTCAGAACATAGCAAAGCACCAACTTTTTTTTTTTTTTTTAATACATTCGTTGAAGAAAAACCAGATAAAATAAAAATAGAGTAGATTCTAATTGAGAATCGTTAGTTTACGAAAAAAGGATCTTTTTTTTCTCAGAAGCAATAATCGCAGGGATCGGTTCTGGAATCGATTCTTGGCCCTCCACTTGTTCATTTGCACGGTGCGAGCTAGGCGAGCTACAGGTCAGACCTACAGAGCCCCTCTGGAATCGGCCTGGCGTTCTTGACTTGCTACTCTGCGCCTCACACTAATGAAAGAAACATTTTCACGCACTCCTTGCATGCCTTGAAATGTTGCTATAGGCTGGTCCCGGAGTGCCTCTGTAGGTCTGACCTGTCAGCACAGCCGCTCTGTGCGTTGGCGCCTCTGTCTCAGCGAGCGTGACGCATACTCGCTGCGTGTCAGCACAGCCGCACTGTGTGTTGCCGTGTGTAGGTAGATGTGCATCTGACGGGCCTGCTTTGCTATATTTAGGTACTGTGTAATCCAAGACCAATCAGGCCTAAACATAGGGCCTATACCAAGACGGGACAGCTACGTTATGTGCCAAGTGCAGGCCCCTCCCACTTTTGCAGCTGGGCATTGGCCTATAATTCGATGAACTGGCGATAGTTTACATTAGTTACTATTCAAGGCTTCTGATCACCTTGGGTGGCAGATCTATATCTAGCCTAGGCCTACTAGAATTAATTTATTTTAGCCCAGAGAGAGAGAGAGAGAGAGAGAGAGAGAGAGAGAGAGAGAGAGAGATTAATGAATAAACGTGTATCAAGATCTAGATCTAGAATCTAGATTGTCTCTAGAGAACCGCGAGACACACCATCATGCAACTTGATTCATATTATATCAACAGTAGGACTAGATCTACTTAAGCTTCTGTGCTTGTTTCAATTGCTTCTTTTTTTTTTTGTGCACCTGTACAATTGCGGACATGACGTCATTGTCATGTGGGAGTGAATCTAGATCTAATCTAGATATCTAGATCAAGATCTAGATTCGAGATCTATATGTCTCTAGTTATAGAATCTAGATAGCCAAGATAATCGATCTCTAGATTTAGAGCTAATCTAGATCTAGATGCCTAGGCTAGATTTAGATCTAGATCTAGACTAGATGTATAATCTAAATCTAAATAAGAAACAGGTAAACATTACGACAGTGGTATTTGGCCTAGATAATCTAGACCTAGAATGAGTTAGATCTAAATCAGATCTACCGAGAATTGATCAAGTCGAGATAGATTCTATGGGAGAACACTTTAAATCTAGATCAACATCTCGGTCAGATGTAAATTATTATATATACATGTATCTAGAATCTTGGCCTTTCTATGGACATCCCTCTGCATCGCAATTTAGATCTAGCCTAGAATCTAGAGAAGCACACAGGCCTAGATCTAGGCCTAGGCCCAGGGCCTAGCATACGACACACAGTTGGAACTAGGTCAACCTCTCGATTCGAAGTTTCAATGTATACTGACGAGCAAAAGAAAGTGGGCACCCTACGTTCTGTGCATTATTTCCGTTCTTTACCGTAGTAATGACGTATTGCCAATGGATTTTGAAAGGCTTGCCATTTTTCAATAAGGGCAGACAAAAAAATTAGAAAAACGATCAAACACACACCTTTTATTAGAAATTCACAACATCGATTCGAATGTTCAAAATCCCAGAATTAGTAACGGGTGTAACTCCCACCAACATTGATGACTACAGCACATCTGTGCCTCATTTATTGCCAAAGTCGTTGGATAAATTGCTGGAGAATATAATTCCAAGCATTCGTTTATGATTGTCGCAGTTGTGGGATTGTCCTTGGGGGTTGCCGAAGGCTGCGAATTTCCTTGTCCATCTTGTCCCAGAGGTGCTCAATCACGTTTAAAGCTGGGGATAATACTGGCAACTGTGTTAAAACCCGTACATATACGTCATTTTTGTTGTAAAAATCTCTGGGTAACAAAGGCACGGTGTGCTGGTGCTATGTCCTGCTGGCACACGAAATTGTTCCTGTGGCGAGCCAGAAACGGCAGACGGTGTGAATAGAGAACTTCTTTGATGTGTCTCTGGGCAGTCAGATTACCGTCGATAATGACTAGATCGAATTCATCAGTACTGGATATGGATTCCCTTACCATAATGCTACGTTTGTCAGCCACAGCACTGACACACTGAGGTAAATAACGTTGATGACGTCTCCGGTAGGCTTTCTGCCTTCCATAGTGGCGATCCAAAAGAAATCTGAACTCGTCAGAAAACATCACTCAGTTCCACTGGCGGTTTAGCCATCGCCTGTGCAGACGTGCCCAGTTGAGTCTGACATGACGGTGTCTTTGGAGGAGACGAGTGCGTCGAGCTGGGTGTCGGGCAACGATTCCATGGGCTTTCAAGCGTCGACGAACGGTGAAGTGGCTGATTGATTTAAGCCCACCCCAATCTCTGGCAGTTTTAGAAGCTGTTTGAAACCGATCCCGCAAGCGTGGGACTCTGATCCGATAGTCTTCAACTGCAATAGTGTCACGAGGACGACCAGACCTTGGAGTGTCACTAACCGAGCTACTTGCTTGGAAGTGTATCCTTGGCTTTTGGATCGTACAATGTATCTCTTCACATTGAAAGCTCTAGCGAGAGAAAAAAACGTCGCATTAGGTCTCAGCATGCCAACAGCTTCAAGACGTTGAGCATCACTGAGACAAGGCATCGTATAAAACAAAACTGAAAAGAACAAACCCAAAACTTTTGACGGCCTTTTCTCTGACACACTTTAAAGTGTGTAACGAATAAAGAATAAAAGTAAAGACGTTGTAAACTTTCAAGAAAAAACGAGAAAACATGTTTTTGGCCAAACATGTTGTAAACACTTTTTACAAAAACAAAATAAACAAATGTTGTTCTGTCTGACTTTCTAAAGTGACACAAGCTCAGCATGTCAATCGCCAAGTCAAAATTCGCGAGACTACTCATACAACACCGATTTGAAAACTGCCCACTTTTTTTTGCTCGCCAGTATATGATAAAGTGCATTTCTTGGTTATTTTGTGGTCAAGTGGAGATGCTAGCATCAATATTGGATAGTAAAGCACCTATTACTATTTGCTTCTTGTTGATTTTGATGATCTGTGAAGAGTTTTAGTCGAAAATAAACACGAAGCTAAGCTTTGTGGGACACGTCCGCCATGTTTTACAACACTGTTGAATAGTACGTCTGATGCGTCGGGCAGCTCAGCGGACAAAAGACAGACTATACAGCGACGCTGCTCAGGCTCACGAAAATGTATACGTTCATTTGCACGGTGTGAGCTAGGCGAAGGCCAGAAGTACAGAGCTACTGTGGGACCGGCCTTGATCTATTTTCATTTGAATAAACATGTACAGACTCTACGAATGAAGTGTTGCATTTTTAATTGCGTTCAGTACCCCCCCCCCCCCCTCTTAGACATACACACACACCTGATATATTATAGATTCAAATCATTTTGTTTTCACACGTGTATATCAGACTAGCCGGGCCCCCTTTCGACGAAAGGAATGATCGCTGTATATCAACTGAAAGTCATTGACCAACTAACTATATTTTTACACTCTATTGGAATGGAGCTATTAATCTTGAGAGATTCGAAAAATTAGAAGGTCTAGATCTGTACTCTTAGAAACAAAATGCGCCTCGCGAAATATCACTTCCGACTGCTGCGCAGATTTGTTTCGTTTCTCAGTGAAATAATCACAAAGGCCAACGAACCTTTTGTCAAATATATTTTTCCAAATTCAGAAAATGAATAAATAAAAAATCTGGCTCCGTCATGGGGATCTATCTATAGTTTTGCAAGTACTTGCACACTTTCAACTCTGTGCTGTTGGAGTTTTATGGGAAAAGTGGCACATGTGCTTCCGAGGTGCCAAATATATAATTAACAGCTGGGTTTCTCGTTCAACGAACGGACTCAAAAGAATCGATCGTCAAGTCATTGTGGGATCTGAATCAGTGCACGCACTCTTTGAGAACAGAAACCTCACAAGTCTTGTTTACAATGACCGAGTTAGATCTAAACGAAACCAATGAAAAACTGAAAATTAAACTACAGTGACTTCAGGCCCCCCAGTGAAACTGTGCATGCTTTAAATGATTCTGAACCAACATTAATTTTATCAAATTCGAAAGTTAAGTGGTTCGGAACTGAAGCCTCTTTAAAAGAAATGTGCACGCTTTAAATAATTCTGAAACACATTTTTTTTTCAAATTAAAAAGTTAGGTGGTTAGGAAGTTTTAGTGACGAAAGTGAGAACTTTCACAGATACAATATATTATATTATAGTATGTTATATTATATTATATTATATTATATTATATTATATTATATTATATTATATTATATTATATTATATTATATTATATTATTTTATATTATATTATAATTATTATATCGTATTATATTATGTTATACAGGTGTATCATATCATATCATATCATATCATATCATATCATATTATATCGTGTTATCTTATATTCTATTATATTACATTACATTACATTACATTACAAATATTATCTATCTTTCAGTATTTCTCAAAAACCATTTTGACAGACAGCTATGCAAAGAATATGGATCGGATTAACGAGTACATTTCCTCTTTGGAAAGTGGTAGCACAGAGTTTCCCTCGTCGTATGGATACGATAGTAATACACGACGTGCCGATAGGGTTAATCTGTGGTATCATTTGCATGTGCTCAAGAAATGTTTTCTCGAAATTATAATTCTAAACGTTGAAAAAAGCAAGGAAACGCAAAAAGCCAAGCCCCCAGGCCGTCACATTACCTGTTCTCCAAGATCACAAGCTACACTCTGCTGGGCAGCATAAATGAGCGGCTTATGACCATCCGCATAACCACGAGGTCTAGTGGCAAAGGTCTGTCTTGGAGACATTTATGATGTTGTGTCTTAGATGTGCCGAAAAAATGTACACGTTTTAACCATCTGATGTAAACAAAATGGTAATAATTCATGGAAAGCACTATTCCCAGTGACACTGAGGATAGGCCCAGAAACTATTCCCAGTGTCACTGGAAATAGACCCAGAAGCTATTCCCATCGTCCCTGGGAAGAGGCCCAGAAACTATTCCCAGTGACGCTGAGAACAGACAGGCCCATTAGATATATTGTAACCCCACTGATCTACACGGGCATGATGATGTTGGGTTACTAAACACTAGACTAGATCTAATGTAGATCAAGATCTAGATCTAATCTAAGTAAAGTAAAGTAGATTCTGGTTTGTGTGGAGGATTTTTTTTAAAGAAAAAGGAACGATCATTCTATGCCTGCTTGCTATTCAGTCATAATTTAAATGTACGTGTAGTTCTAGAGCTAGATCTAGATCTACATACGGATTTGGGAGACCACGGTACAGCACAGATATATAAATCCTTCCTCATTCTTCTTTCTTCTAGATCTAGATCTGGATCTAGATTTTATTCTACAGTCAAGTCGAGGCCCAGCGATCCCGATCGCCGTCTGTGACTACCAGAGGTAAGTTGAGACAATCAACTAGGCCCTATTGTGCTTGGAAAAAAGCCTGGGGCACGTAGTGTCTCCAGGGGGCGCTCAGCTTCAAAAAGAAGAAAGTCTTCTGGGGGGAATTCAAACGAAAAAAGACCGCGTGGGGAGAGGAGTGAGTCTCGAGAGAAAGAGGGCATTGAAATGGGAGAAAATACCGAAAATACCGAAGAAAGAAGTTTAGACTGGTTTGAAAAAAAAGGACAACGCGTAGAGTTGCTAGTTAATAAAAGCTTTTTTTTAATAGGTTTCCGACCCGGCACGGTTTTAAGGACATACGAGTCTAGATTGTGAGTTGGATTTTGGTTTATTGTTGTTTTTTCATTGGTACAAAGGTTTCTTTCCTCCATTGATCGTTTTCTCTCCTGCTTGTCTTCCCTCGTCACCTCACATATCTTTCTCCTTCTCCCTCTTCTTTCGTACAACACCTCTCCTTCCCCCTCTTTCTCACTCACATTTAGTACACAAGCTCACACATCTTTCTTAACACACACACACACAAACACACACACACACACTCACACACACACACGCACACATATACACACACCAATACTCTCTATCTTTCTTTATCTCTTTCTCTCTATCTCTCTATCTCTCTCTCTCTATCTCTCTCTCTCTCTCTCTCTCTCTCTCTCTCTCTCTCTCTCTCTCTCTCCCTCTCTTTCTTCACCTCTCTCCTCACTATTATTACTCAAACTGCTGTGAAGTAAATCCTCTACTTTACCCGTTAAAATTGATCAAGAGCGATGATGCAATGTGTTCGGATTTTGAATCATGGAGAGCGGGACTGAAAGAAATTTGCGAGTCGCGTCGATTAATTGTCGAGGTCTAAATAACAAACTAAAGTGAAAAACTATCTTCCGTCAGTGTACAAAATTTGATATAGTTTGTCTTCAAGAAACGTATATCACAGAGAAAACAGCAAAGGAATGGGAATTAGACTGGAAAGGAGAATTCTTTTTTGCTGAAGGTACACAGAGAAGCAAAGGACAAGTTATTCTTGTTAATAACAGATCAAATTATGAAAACCTTAAAATAGTTATTAAAACAGACAGAATACTGGGGTTGAAGTTCTCTCTGAATGATCAAATTGTTCAAATAGTAAATGTATACGGTCCAGTTATCACATCTGAAAAATTAAAATTCTTTGATCAGCTTCATTCTCTTTTGAACAATGGGGATGCAGACCATATGATTATCTCCGGGGATATTAATGCTGTATTGAACAACACCCTTGACATTATTAATGGAGAACCGCATAATGTGGTTGTGAATAGAAAATGTATCGACTGGGTCCAAAACTGTTACCTTAGGGACACATGGCGTTCGTTACATGGTGAAGAAAAAGACTTTACATGGTCAAGACCCACCCCATTCACTGCACGTCGTCCCGACTACATATTCTGTAATGAGGAATTTTTACCACAAGTAGTAGAAAGTAGACACGGAATTTTCTATGACACGGATCATAAAGGGGTGGTAACTGTTTTTAGAGCGGATGAATTTAAAAGAGGGCGATCGTTTTGGAAATTCAATAATTCGCTATTGTATGATAAGGAATTTGTCTGTGACATGAACCAATGTATTGACGATTTTTTGGAATCTACCTCTGACTGTACTAACTATGTAAAAAGATGGAAATTACTTAAAATACTAGTCAAAGAGACAAGCATAGTACATGGGGTTAAAAGAAAAAAAGCCTTGAGATACAGAGAAGACGCACTGGCTAATGGAATTCCTAGATTAAACAGACTTATAGTAGTGAATCCCCCATGATAAAATCGCTCTTCAGCAGCTCGTGAAGAAAAGGCGCGAAGTTGAAATAATAGAGCTTAATAGAACCAGAGGGGCCCAAATTAGATCAAAGGTAAAGTGGATTGAGGAGGGTGAGAAAAACACGAAGTTTTTTCTTAATTTGGAAAAATCTAAAGGCTGTAGTAATACTATAACTTCTCTTAAGAGGTGCAGTGGGAAAGGAACTGTAATACAAAATCACACTGAGATCATAGAAGAAATAAAAGCACATTTTGAAGGGTTATACAGACAAGATGCTAGTGTAAGCGAT